TTTTAAAATATATATATAATATTCACCAAAATAAAATGATTTTTTGCTCTTTTGATTTCAAGCTATATTAAAATATTTAAATAATTGCTTTTGCCGCCTAAATTTCCAGAGATATTTTAAAAAGTAAACAATATGCATTTCCTCATGTTTCAACTTTAAACCCGACTGGACCATGCAAAGATATATGGAAAAATGGAAAAAGATATTTCAGGCATCGCCATAGTTACGCGCTCACCAGCAGATATCGTTCAATAATCACCTAATTACTGACCAAAAACATCATAAAACTAGGAGATGCCGACCAAATATGCTCCCCACTTTGTATCATCCCCAAATCGGACGGATTCCCGAGTGTCATAAGCGACTTTTCTGAGACGTCAAAGAATTTCCAAGTACCCGTTCCACCTCAAATCATCCTAATGATGTCGAGAAAACTCGAAAGAGCCAAATTCGAGTGAGATAGACATCAGATCCGCCTTTTTCTCAATACCGCTATCACATCGCGTTAGACGCTATTTATTCGAGAGACAAAAGCACAGGTATACTGTGCTCCCAATGGGAGCATCCTTCAGCCCATATTGCCTACAATCGATAATACTGTACGCGTGTGCCAAGACATCAGAAAGGCCAACTACAATGTTTACTTATATGGCATCTTGATATATGGGGACAGTGAATTCAACGTCAAATGGTTTACAAGATCTCTCAGATGTACCGTGGAAGGTTGTAGGAATACTCGCAGTCGAAAAATCTATTGAACCCGACTCCGTACATTACCTACCTGGATATTCCCATCGACTTGCAAGCTAAAAAGTTAACAGCGGATAACGATACCCGGCGACGCCTCGCTCGATGCATATGGCACTCACTCCAACATCTGGATTAGGCCGACTACTAGTCGCAAGAGTCTTAAGTGTCGTTAACCACTTCGCTTACACTATCACTGGAATGTCGCGACCTTTTTCGCCTTACTACATTACCAAGAATAACTCTGAGCTCACCCAGTAGTGGATACCTACGTAGCCTTTCAGAAGGCCCAAATCATCGAGGGCGCCTTGCAAGCCTCAATCAGCATACGATACCCGTCTAACAACGCAGTATATACGGACGTCTCCGATTCACATATAGGGATCTCCTGCTGGGGTATAAACAATCTGTGGCGTACTAAGAAGCAGCCCTTATTTTTAATATACCCGAACATGCCATCTTGCATATCAACGCTAAAAAAATAATCGCAGTAGGAGTGGGGGCCCTATTAGCCATAGGACGGGGCACCTCCTGTCATCTTTACGGATTCTTCAGTAGCCTACTATGTCTAAGGAAAGGAGGATCGAGATCCCCGTCTATCGAAACAGTCATAACGCAGATCCTTAGGAAGTTTGAGCTACCGAACTTTACTCCAAAGCCAAAACGTTAAGTGGATCCCAACAACCGAACCTTCTCGCACATGGGTTGGTGACAGATCCGCTATGGTCCTCTTTAATCAACCAGGCCAGCTACAACTAGAATAAGCCATAAGAAATGTGGAAGATTAACACTCACTTTTCGGAACGGAAACGATCAACACCCCTTCGTTAATCTCAGGATTATCAGCACCGTCAACCGAAACAAATATCAATCAATAATTTCGACGAACTTAACGATTAAAATAACAATAGTCAAAAAATCGTACTGAAGAAAACCGACATAGCTTTAGAATGATTCATCCACCAATATTTATTTATATAAATAAACAAATATTACATGCAATCATTATTATCGTCGCTTTTACTTTTCTTCTCAAAATATTGTTATTTTACTTATATTTACGTAGACTTATTACGCCCTTACTTGACCAGATATAAGCAATAAGAATGATCAAAGCCATAAAGGCCAAAACATATAGTCGATTTCTATCCCGGATCGTTTATAACGAAAGGGACGTTAATAGAAATCAGTTGAGTAAGAATAGGATATATTTTAGAAAGATCCAATTTTATATGAGTTAAGAAATTTTTTTTTAATTTACTCATGATTACGTATATACAAATATTTACAAAAAATTTCAAAAAATCTGAACCCCTCAGGTTAAAAATCGACTTTTTTTGTTAATAAAATGAAATTCAACATAGGCAAACATTTAACCAATTTATATAACTCTATACTTATAACATAATTATATTTATAAAATTATAAATAATCATATGAAACAAATGGTGATCAGAGATCTATATTTAAATTAAGCTAAAGATAGCATTATAAAAAAAATTATTAATTTATTAAAAAATTAAACCTTATTCACATTAATTTTTATTAAATTTCCAGAAAAAAATAGCAACCTTATAAAGGGATATTAACATTTCATAAAGAGAGGAAATATTTTGATCCCTTTCATTTAAGGCTTTTTTACACAATTCCTGCAAATAAAAAGAGCTGGCCTGGATTTTTTTTTCATTTTCAAGCCCGGTCATGGTTTCCATCTTATAATTTTGGCTGTATATTTAGCAAATTGTTTCAAAAGGAAATTGAAAATATGAATGGTGAATGAATAAATATTAAACACTTCATAATAAAAATTTCAAAAATTTTCTTACTGATTATATGAAATAAACAAAATTCAAAAATCGATCTGATAAAGGATTTCTATTTTAAAATCTGCTCAGAATTTTTAAAATCATATCATTTTTTAGCCCATGCCTGCAGATTTTTGATAGAATCTAAATTAAAAAATGAGATTAAATGGTTTTTACACCATTTTTAGTAAAAATTTTCATAATGATTTTTATGTAATAGAATATAAACTGCGTTCCAATTGAATTGATACCTAGCAATATATCTATCAATTTAAAAAATAATTCAATAAAATTTTATAGATTTAGAGGGATATCAATGTTTTCTGAGAATTTCATCCAATACTATCAATAGGGTCTAAAGTGATGCACATTCAAAGTTGGACAAACAAAATTCGAACTTTCCAATATTTAAATTTTTTAAAAATTAAATTTTACCTTTTGACTAGAATTTAATTAAAATTTTAAGGAGCCAAAAGATTTTTGAAGATTTTCTAACAAAAACTGGTCTATCGCAGCCTTGAATTGATTGATTGCGAAAATTGATGCTACCTGATCAGCAGAAAAACGGTATGGTAGTGGTAGACCACGCACAGATCCTACTAAGCAAAATGTTGATTCTTGAGTCAAAAACGACCTGGCATCCACAGAAATATTTGTCAAGCATCCCGAGAAACTGGTATTTCGCAAACCTCCATGCATCGAATTATCCATAGAGTTGCAGCTGAAATGTTCATAAAAGGAACAAGACTAGTGCCTAACTAATGCAAATAAGACTACCCCTGTGGTACCTACCAAACAACTTGTACGAAAATATTCTCAGATTCATTTCATATGGTTCAGAGGTGAAAAGCTGATTACAGTAATTCCACCAGTAAATTTTCAGGGTGTACAATGCAATTTCAATGAGAAAAAAACAATTACAACCAATCGATTGTTTCATACTCGTTCAAATTTCTCAAAAATTTATCATGGTTTCGGTCACAATAACAAGTCTTGACTGCAGCTCATCTTTATCGATCCAGGGATCATATTTAATGGTGAATACTATAGTAGTGTTTTACTCGGTGAGCACTTAATGTCTCCTATTAAAGAATTGTTGGGCAGTAAATTTTTATAGTAGGACAGTGCTCCATCTAACCGAACCAGAGAAACTGTGAAGAGAAACATTAGATTTTATTTCACCCATTCTTTGCCTCCTCCTCCCCCCTCCCTAATGGCCTTGATCCCAATCTGGTCGACTACAAGAAATAGAGCGTTTAAACGTGTTTATCAACCCCGTATATATGACGTTGACCATCTAAAACAGCGTTTTTAATCAATAAATAGTTTATTGTGCCCAGTGAATGGCTATATCGCCTTAGAGCACATTCGTGATAATGGTGGGCATTTTGGTACAACATTTGGCTCAAATTAATTTTATATGTTGATGTTTTTGTCGAATTGTAAAGTTGAAAATATAAAAAATTTATTCTATTTACATATTGAAAGTTTTAATTTTTTTGTTCAACTTTGAATGTGCATAACTTTAGACCCTATCTATAGAATTTTATGAAATGTTCAAAAAACATTAATAATATATCCCTCTCTTAATCTATTAAATTTAATTTAATTATTTTCAGAATTGACAGATTTATTGCTATAACAAAAAGGGTATAGTTCAATTGGAACAATGTAGTTATTATAATAATCAGAAGAAATATGGTAATTTTGAAAGAAGTCTAAAATATTTTCAAAAAAAATTTGAGTAAGAATATAAATTATGCTGTTCGATATGAATCTAAACCGGGCTGATACCGCTATTGGCAATTTCTGAGATAAATCGGATCAGTCTGATATCATTCAAAAACCTTTAAAATAATAAAATAATCGCGTAATAGTGCTTACAAATTGAACAGTAGAAGTGCTTAACGTTTTGTTGTTTAAATCGAGCTGAAATTTTTAAATGTAAAAAAACACAAACTATTTTGCGTTTTTTCAACTCAAAAAAACGTTAATTTCACGTAAAAATATATAATTTGAAATAAAACGCAAAACGCTTCAATGTAAGAACTAGAATAAAATCTTATTTTTGGCATATCCATTCTTATAAAGTTTTTATTATATTAAGAATGTTAGAGAAGATAAATATTTTTTTATAAAAACGATATTTTTCTTTTAACATAAACCCTGACATACCAGAATTTAAGTAGAAACATTTAAAAATTATAATAGGAAAAATTTTTTGGAATACTAATTTGATGAGATAAATTTTTTTTAAATAAAATCCAAAAGCTTAAAATTAAAATATTAACAAGCAATTTAATATAGGATAGGTTATAGAAACTATTTTCAATAACGGATTAAATCGGTTAAAAAATTGTAATTTGGGCAGACCTAGTTTAAATCAAAATAGTAGTCTATAAATATTAGTCTCAAAAAACAATGAATATTATATTATATAATTCTCACCGTGGTCTACGGAAAATGTTGCCATACTTCTGACAAGCCAAGCCAACAGTAGGAGTGTAAACGATTGGCATCATTATTTCGGTGTATTCACAAAGAATGCGATAAAAAAGCTTTTCGTTTCTGTCCTAAAAAGAAACACGATAAACAAAAATTATTTAAAAATCGATTCTATGTGCCCAAATATTTGATATATGGTATTATTATGAAGAGATTAAGCACAAGAGTAGTGATAAAAATGGATAATTTTATATGAATTTTTAAGAAAAAGAATAAGCATAGTCTGGAGAATCTAAAACTGTATTATTTTTATTTTTTTTATTTCAAATTTACCAAATATTTTTTCAAACTTTTTTATGTAATTTCGAGTTTTTATAAAATGACATACCACATATTTTAAAACCTTGCACCTATATAAAATCTAATTTTTTTAGTATGGTGCAGAATCCATCATTTTATTTAACGAGAGTGGGAAATTAATTTTGAGGTCAAATAAAAACATTTTTAAGTTTAATAATATTTAACATTTGACAAAAATCAAAAATGTAAATAATACCTTCTTTTTTTAATGGAAATTGGACAAAATTAATAAGTTATTTTGAATCCAGAATCTTTAGCACTATTTGGTATTTGTATATTAGGGTCCTTTTATTTTGTTTTTATATTTTATAAATAATATTTATTCAAAAGACTTGGGGCAAAAATTTTTAAAAAAAGGAATATTTAATCAAAAAGATCTTTGAGATTGGGATATACATTAACTAGATATATATAAAATTTATTTTAAATTTATTTTAAATTGAATGAAAAATTGTTGTTTTATATAATTCTTTATCTATATATATCTCTGAAAAACAATTTAGATTAATACAAAGTATATTTTAGGCATATAACCAAAATATGGCTTAGTAAGCACCATGTTGAACACCTCAGCAATAAATATAGATTTCTATGTAGGTAAATATTCTATTTATGTATTTATTTAATTATCCAATAATTCCAAATAATTTTTTAACAATATTTAAGCTTAAGTTATAGCTATTAAATGAAACAATCAGAAAATTGGACAAATTTTTGATCAAATGACTTTATGATCATACAAGTCATAATAATATATGGAAGTATGAGAAATATAAAATATATAAAGGTAATTTAAAAAACAAATCACATGTGATTAAGATTTTTAATTAATAAAAATTATAGTTTTAATGTTTTAAATAAATCAGGTAATACCCAGTCCAGCAAAACCTGGCCAAGCTAAAAATTCTGAATAAATTATTTTTCGTAGCTAAAATGTCATTTGAATGCAGAAATAGGAATTTTATGCTTAAAACTTTATAATTATAATGGGAATCAAATTTAAAATAAATGTTTGTGATGGAAATTAAAATATAATAATTTTATAAATAATCAGTGAGGGAAATAAAAACAAACCAACTTTAAACAAAGTAATATATTTTAATTTAAAAGGGCAGAGATTTGGAAATGGAAGGGGGTGGATAGCTATAGCATTACATTAATACAATATATTTAAAGCTTAAACCAAATATTATATTTAAATCTTGACTAATTACGGCCTTAGATATAAAATTTAATTATTTATATTTTCATATTTATATTTATTAAAATTCTTAACCATACAAAATTTTGGGCAACATTAATTTAAAATCTTGCTTAGCCTGTCCACCCACTATTTTATGATTGGATTGATTCTTTTTTTTATTTTAATATATTTCTACTTAAACTTATAAACACCTGTAATCCTATGAGAAAAATAAATTTATCCAAATCATTGTCCCATCTGTTGAAATTTTCTAAAATATGTTTGACTTGCATGTCAGGACTTGTAATTCTGGGGGGTAATAATCCATGAATGCCTAATAATTGTCTTTCTTTTAGAGTAAATGCACGTCCCTGTTTATTTAATATTGATATTAATTTTGTAACTAAATTGCACAATGAATATTAATTATTATATATAAGTCTTTTATATATTGGTTAACATTATTGTTGTTAGTAGCTCAATTTAGCTTATTTCTTAAAATGGCTAGCTCATATTTGCAAAAAAATATTGGGCAAGCCTGAAGATTTTGCCCATATATGGCAAAAAGATCTCAACATCTATTAACAAAATTTCAAGGCATAGGTAATATTATTTTGACCAAAGCATTCTTTTAAAATTAATGTATTTGTTCAAACTTGATTATTATAAATTAAACACCTCAAACACTGCGTCAACTGTATAGTAAAAATTGACTAAATTCTAGTTTGGCTTAAATTGCATTATTTTCGTTAACAATAAATCATATAAGTATGTAAATACTATTATAGATTATTTTATTTGTTAGTATATAATCATAAAAATTTGACCATGTATTAAATTTTTAACCTTATTATATACAGGATCTCGTAATAATTCAATTCCACGTTTGATCTGAGATGGATTATCTAAATAACCTGGTATTGGCATATTTTTGATATAGAAGTAAATGAGTAGGTTGATACTAGATTTTTCCTAAAATCAGGTAAATTGATTACATGTCACGTAACTAATCCAATTTGAAAAACATCAATAGTGTCTACATGACAGGATATTAACTTAATGTAAATCCCTTCAAAAAATTATACCTACTCCCCTAAAAAAATTTGCCGACTTCGGCGGCTTTATTTCCACATTATTAATTACACCTTTTAAAAAATTTTAAAAATTAGTAATATCATTGATGCTCTACTACCAACTATCAAAATATTGTGAATGTAAAAGAGTTATTTTTAGAACATGATTTCAATTAAAAACGTCTATATTTACAATAAATTCATTAATATAGTATATTGTTTGGCATGAATGAGTTTAATATTCGAATTCTCAACACTTTTAATTTATATTTTAAAGTATAGCAAAAAGTGATCCGAAAATTGTTTTATTTTGAAAATTATGTCTATGATTGTGAGCAGTGCAATATATAGATTTAGTCTATGTTCAGCAGTATCATTGTGTTATAATAGTTTATAATAAAAGAATTAATTCTACAGAAATACATTTTATGTGTCTACTCTTTCCCCAAATATTGAAAATTATCCAAGCACAATATATTAGACCTTTACAAAAATAAACACCACTCTTTTATCTCTTTCTTTTTATTCACTCAAATATACATGTTATGTGTATCGTGTTAGCGTGGAGTCATTTTGTGTTATTTTGTGATTAATATATTTTTTTGTTCTCTCTTTCTTTCTTTCTTTCTTTCTTTTTTATTTTTTTGCGCATTCATTCTTTTAATTTTTATTTGTGATTAATATTTTTTGATTTTTTTTTGCGCATTCATTCTTGTGATATATTATAAAAAAATTTGCTATTTTTAAAATTAGAAAAATTATTATTGTTTATTATTATTCATTAATTAAATAGATATATATATATAGAGAGAGAAAAAATAAATAAAAATTATTATTGCGTTTTTTTATATTTTTTTTAAATTCAGTTATATATTTCTGGTTTCTTGTAAAAAAAGGGAAAATAGATAGAACAAAGGTATCAAGTAAGAACATATTTGACTCTGAAAAACATTAATTATAAACAGTATAATTTTTACATTAATATTTAATATTAACATTTAAAATATATTTAGTGTTTTGGCATTTAAAGTATTTAGTATATGACTTTTAAAATAATACATATCTGTAATTTGTGTCTACTCTTTCCCTACAGAGTCCCCTGATTACTCCCCAACGAATCCTCCGATTACTCCACAATGGGTTCCCCCTATTTGTCTCCTATAATTCCCCCTCCCCTTTCTCCATCTCCCCTAAAATTCCCCCGCTCACAACGTACACACATTTGTTATCTCACTTAAATCGAGAAAGATAAATAATTACAAAACTTGTATTAAAAATTTCTACACAGTAGTCAATATACTTCTTTTTTTTATACCCCAAAATTTTTAGATAATTTCATAGTTTCATTAATCAACTTCTAAATTTATTTTTCTTTCATTTCAAAAATCTACATATTTTATAAATTCGTCAACTCATTTAAAAAATTTTCTCCACATGAACAACATCTTATCTATTCTCCCTTTTTTTAAACCAAGAAAAATATTTAACCTTGAATTCATTAATTATTTATTTTTTTTAAAAAAATTATCCAATATTCTGTTATATTCTTATCAATTAACCAAATATACGTTCCAAATTAATTTTTTTTTTATCCCCAAAAATTATTTCCTTTATCAACGATTACAATTCTTTTTTATTCCTTCACGTATTTATTCCAAAATGAAAAGTAAAAATAATATTGAATATCTTTCTCCATTTTTTAAAAATATATTTTATCCTAAATATATTCTTTGAAATCATCATTTTAAGATAACCCCTTTTGTGTAAAGAATATTTTCCTCGCATAATAATATTTATCGTCAATCTTTATCTTGTATTATATATTTTTCTATCTTGGAGCCCACCATTTTGTTTTATTATTTTCTCCTTCGCCTCCGATTTGTTTTTAAACCCATTAGTATTCATCTCACTCCTTTTTTACACACAGCTTTTGGCTTTATTTTCCAACGTTTTTTAAAAAAAATTTCTATCTCTCCTTGTGAACTCGAACATTTTGTTTAATGAAATTTTTTTTTTAGCTTAGCACCACAGCTTCATAAAAAAATAATTCTTCTAGCACTTGCCATTTTTTATTTTTTATTTATATTTAACGTTATTTTATTTCTCAACATTATTCTACATTTTCGCTGCTACATTAGTTTTCGCACTCGTTAATTTAAAATATCGCTCTCGCTAATTTTTAATTTTGGCTCCTACATATATTAGTTCACCCAAGCGCACTATTATATTATTCTCTTTATTCACCAATGCACTATTCATTGAAATCTCTAAATATTTGTCTCGCATGATGATTTTCATTCTTTTATATTCACCCCATAAAAAGGTATAGCTCATTTCTAAACTCGAAACCAATAACTTTTATCTCATTACTTCCCTCGTCGGTGATATATTTTTAATGCAATAATTATCAATATTCTCCTTCATACATTGGCTGCATACAGAACCGTTCCGTTCTGAGGAAATCAAGAAACATAAAAATTTACATCTCTTTCCTCCTTCAGCACTAAATTTTGGCATAACTCTAAATTTCTTCACTTGTATATTTTCACTTATATTTATATATTTCTAATTAATATAAATCCCTGACACACATGTATTTTCTTATAAAATTGTGTGCTCTCTGTTATGTGTATCGTGTTTCTATGTTAAAGTGTGGAGTCATTTATTATAATAATTACGCAGTCATTTTTTTTGGTGATGAATATTTTTTTTGATTTTTTTTGCGCAATCCTTCTTTTATTATATTATTATTAAAAAAGGATTATAAAAAATTGTTATTTTTAGATTAATGATTTATTTAATAAATATATATTATTTTATAATGAGTATAAAAAGGAAAAAAAACGAAATAAAATTGATTTATTGTCTTCCAATTTTTGAGAGATTTATTAATTTTTGCAAGATGTTTGTAAGATTTTTTGGGGCTGTTGAAAAGAAATCAATTAAAAGGTGAAAGAAAAATACGAAGTGATTAATATATTTTAAATATATCAATAAGGTAAAACTAATATTCTTTTTGATAAAAATTTAATAAATTTATGTTAATTAAAAATATTTTGATAAAAAATTTATACTCTCTAAATAATTTATTTCGTTTACTACGATTACACAGTATTTTAGACTTTATTTCCAATAATAATATGCATAATTACTCAAAATTACATTATTTTATTTAAACCAAATTTCGCATCTTTTTTTAAAAAAAATATCATCACATTTTTGCCAAAGCCTTCACAAATATTAACTAAATACACTATAATTTCCCCCATATGTTTAGATAACATTCACCGGTTAAAATATCATTTATTAATGCAACACTATAACTTTCCCGGTAAATCCTGGCCTGGGCGCCATTGTGATAATTATATAATACAAAACTTTACTAGTACAACGCTATTTTTTAACTCACACAATTTACCAACACAACTCTAAAACTAAAAGTAAAAATTTTTCAACGGCTAATTTTACTGGCCAAAAAAAAAATATATCTAAAAAAATTAAAAAAAAACAAAAAGTTATTATATTAATAAAAAATTATGTATCTTTTACACTTTTATGACTCAAATAAATCACGAGTTCTAAAAGTGTTATATAAAATCAGGCCACTATTTATAAATACGCTATATATTAAACAAAATAATTTTTAAAATAAATATATTTTACGTGAATACTAGTAAGCAATATAATTTTAAATAATAATGTAACAACAGTATTTAAATGATAATCCTCAATAATTGGAGAAAACTTTTATTATATAAAATATATGAATACGATAAGAAATAAAACATAACTTAAGATATAAATCATAACTTATATGATTAAATATCCTGATTGGCCTCAAATTTTCTTCTATCGTGGGCAAAATGGCCATAGACCAGTCTGCCTCTATCTCACATATGCAAGCTCTTTGGTCATATATGTGAAAGTTCCTCCAATGGCAAATGCTGGTCCTAGCAATCTAAAGCTAACTACATAAGCGTCAACGGCAGTCTTCTACTAATTTCTTGATCTATTCTAAATTGAGAGCCATGAATATTTAAATTTTATAAAGTTATATAAGACAATGCACATTTACATAAATATTCATATTTTGGTTTTCGAAAAAATTTCGATAAATATTAAACTGCAATTGTGCAATGTCTACGTCATCCGAGACTACTATCAATCAAATTTTAAACATTAGCAAGAAATTAATAGGTTTAGTTTCATCGCGCTACTTTTACAATAATTAATTAAACAAACAAATAAGCGCTAATGAGATAAGATAATCCAAGCGAAACGTGGACTATTTTTATAACTTTCTCATAAAATATTTAAATGCATTATTTATTTCTTATTATATATGTAAAAAATTTATGTTTTTGATTGTGTTTTTGATCATCTGTGGCCTAGTCGGGGAGTGCATTGATTACAATCTGATAAACTTGGGTTCGAATTCAGCATGGCCATTTTTTTTTGAAGCCTCTTTGGAGGTTTCATATTTGAGGAATGATATATAGTAGATCGGACTCAACCATGTGTGATTCTATTAATATATATTAAAAAATATGTGAGTCTTATTATATTACGACAACATTTGGTCGTTGTTTGGCAATCTGACGCGCATTACTAATAGTTTAAAATAAATATTCATATATTCGTTAAAAAAAAAATCGCTAAAGCTAGGTGCCCCCATTTTTGGTATTAATGATAGATCACGTCATTTAAGGTTTCCTATCTTTTCATATTTATACGCTATATTTAAAAATAGATTAAAATAACCTAAATCTAATCTATAGATACTGCTACAACCTCATATCCATATTATCATGCTACCCAAGCCTTACAGGAGAAAGTATCCGCAATTATACAAATTAATATTTTATCTTGATATAAAAAAATATATAACTTCATATAAGTTATTGACAATTTTGGAAAGAGACAAACAAAAAGATGATGAAAGTATGTCATTATTTGTAGTTTATTTTTGAATTTCTTTTATTAGTTTCCAATTTAAAATGTGATCAAAAAATATTTTTTTACTATTTTAGATAAAGAGAATATGGAGAGCAAAATATGCAATCTAATAAATGAAAAGGCATGGGAGGCGTAAAGAATCTGATCTAACAGTTATTGGATTGTCCAGAAAAAAGAAGAAAAATAATCTAATATCTGTAGAAAATATCAAGATAGGAGAAAGTACTATGTTTCATATAAATTATAACTTTTAATATTTAATAGAACAACCTAATTCCCAGGCAGAATTTATCAATTTCATAATAACTAACAATAAAATTCAGGTATTTATATATTTTTTTTATTACCTTATTTTAATTTAGCAAATAGAATTTGAATCAAAAGAAAATATATTTTTTTACCAGAAAATATATTTTTTTACCAGAAAATAAACCCATGGCCTATTCAAATCTTTCAAATATAGAAAAAGCAGTTTAGATTTTATCAAGATTATCAAAAAATTGAAAAACAACAAATTCCATTGCCAAAATATTTTAAAAAAACCATTTTGTGTAAATTGTCTTTAATATAATGATTATATAAATTATATATTTATCTTATATTTATAAATTATATATATATTAATAAAGCTTATTCATGTTTGTCACAATATATTATATTATAAAATTATATTTAAAACATAGTTTTAAAAAAAAACATTGTTAAAATTTATAAAAAACAAGTTTGATTACAAAAAACAAGGTTGGTTTTAATAAAACAATGTTAGAATTTACAAAAAACAGATTTGTACAAAAAAACAAGGTTAGTTTTAAAAAAACAATGTTAGAATTTACAAAAAACAGTTTTCTAAAATGTTAGAATTTACAAAAAAACAAGGTTGGTTTTAAACAATTAGAATTTACAAAAAACAGATTTGTACAAAAAACAAGGTTAGTTTTAAAAAACAATGTTAGAATTAGAAAGAAAGTTACTTTAAAAAACAATGTTAGAATTTACAAAAAACAAAGTTAGTTGTACAAAAAACAATGTTAGAATTTACAAAAAACAGGTTTGATTACAAAAAACAAGGTTGGTTTTAATAAAACAATGTTAGAATTTACAAAAAACAGATTTATACAAAAACAAGGTTAGTTTTTGATATGTGCGCGGCCACGACCGCGGGCTGTTCTACCGGGGGATAGGGAGAGGGATCGGCAGAATTCGAGGGACCGGGATTTTCTGGTAGGTTGACGTTGAGTTTTAACTAAGTCATCATCGGGTAATTTTAGTAATTTAATTTATTGTTAAAATATCACAATTTTCCAAAGAATAAAACTTTCAGAATTTTATTTAACACAAAAAAAATTCAGTAAAATAATTAAAAGAATGAATAATAAATGTATTTTTGCAACCTTTTATAATTTATAAAACAAAGAAAAAAAAATAACATGTTGTTATATAATATCGCGATACAATCATTCTTGGGTCAGAACCAGTTTCAAATACAATATAAAAATAAGGTTATCAATATAAAAAAAAGGACGATGGGAAAACAAAAGAAACAAGTGGAGAAAAACGTAAAGAAAAGAAATAAGTTATACGGGACAAGAGGGGGGGGGGGGGGTAGAACATAACAGTTATAAAAAACAATGTTAGAATTTACAAAAAAAGTTAGTTTAAAAACAATGTTAGACTTTACAAAAAACAATTAGTTTTAAAAAAACAATGTTAGAATTTACAAAAAAACAAGGTTGGTTTTAATAAAACAATGTTAGAATTTACAAAAAACAGATTTATACAAAAAACAAGGTTAGTTTTAAAAAACAATGTTTAAATCTATATAAAAAAGGCTCCATTTTGGGGCACCTAGCCTATAATTAACTTAGTTATTGCCACTCTCGGGAGGTATATTATTTTTTTTTGTTATTTTTTTTATGTTATTTTTTTTTTATGATATTTTATATTTTTTATCAATTTTTTATTTTTGCCTGCAAATTTAATTTTTTTTATGAAGATATTTTTAGGAGAATTTTGCTTACAAATTTAATTTTTTTTGTGGTAAAATATAGGAATTATTAATTTCGCATATTTAAGATATTTTTAGGAGAATTTTGCTAATAAATTTAATTTTTTTTTGTGGTAAAATATAGAAATTATTAATTTAGCAAATTTAAGATATTTTTAGGTAATTTTGTATTAGGGATAAAATAGACCCCACCTTTGAAGTTTAAGTGATTTTTAACCTTTCTAGTGAAGGGTTAAATCGGAATATAGTACGCAATTAAATATAATATTAAAATATATACACGAAATATAGTATTAAATAACCAATTTTATTCAATAAATTGAAATATATTATTGAAATTAATACATTGATTTATAAAATGAATGAAAATGTCAAAACGATTTAACAATTTATATTTCCTAAAATATCTATATTCAAGAAGATATTATGAATATTATCGCGATCCCCATGTCTTTTGTAGTTTGCTTTTAGGTCCCGCCACAGCCTTTCGACTTTTTGGGGATGAATCTGTCATTAGGTTCAACTAAATTTCGCGAATGATTGACCCGATAATGGAAATAATTAGCTTGTTCTAGCCTAATATATCTAACATAAATAGATTCAAATTTATTACCACTTGATTTAGAGGAAAATTATATTTGCATACCTTAACCAAGTCATTCATTATCGTCAAATCTTGCATTACATTATCTTTAACCACACGCAGTGTGGTATAAATATCTTAAATAAAAATTTGTAGAAAAAACTCTTTTAATTATAATGATATTCCTTTCAGGAATTTTACAAAAAATAACTTACATTATTTTATCTCTACTATCAAAATTTTTGAATATAAAAGTTATTTTTTAGATAATGACTTCAATTAAAAAACCCCTTATTTACAATGAATGCATTATTATAGCATTCTGAGTTTGCTGAGAATGTCTAAACCTTTTAAATGATAACAGAAAGTTTTATTTGGAAAATAATGTCTATGTGTTTGCAATATATAGATTTGTAGATTTGGTCGATGATCAGCAATATTATTGTATTATAATAGGTCTATATTAATTTTAACAGCAATATATTTTGTCCTTTTTCATCTCAAAATTTAATAAATAACCCACCAAAATAATTTATCCTACCCCAATTAAAGGCGCCTACCTCTTACCCCCCCCCCTCAATGATAATTGGATGCAAACTCTTCCTACCCCCCCCCCCCATCGTTCATGTAGACGCTGATTGTCGATATCTAAGAAATTTGGCTGTCGTTGTAAAGCAATACCAAAATAAAATATTAAAACAGTTATCCTTTATGTTATTTTTTAAAATTATTTCCCCTAGAAATGCTTTTGTAATTAGATATAAATCAAGATTCGTAGATGTTGTTACTGAAATAATACCAGATGCTCCAAAAGGCCATGTATACGATACAAAACCAATTAAATTTACTCTTCAAAAGGGTAAGGTATATAATTGGTGTGTATGTGGATTAAGTCATTCTCAAGTATCCAATATTTGTTTTATAATTATTTATAAAAATTTACAGCCTTTTTGTGATTTATCGCATAGTCGTTTTAAAACTAAATTTTTACCATTGAGATTTGTTGCAAATGAAAATAAAGATGTATGGCTATGTAATTGCAAGCAAACAAGTAGAGCACCATATTGTGATAGCACTCATAAAAAACTAAATTTAACTAAACCAACTGTAACTACGAGCTAAAATAAAAAATAAATTTTATTAAAATGTTAATAGTATTATAAATTGCTCTTATTTTATTTCAGAATAAATATTTAATTTTATATATGAATGTTACTTTAATCTTAACTAAATTTGATTTTTTTCCATTTTATTACAAACTAAGTTATAATTTAAATGACCTTGGGAAAGTTTATTTTCAGTAAAAGACAAAATGGGCAAAAAAAAAATTTCTAAATGTTGTGATTTTATCTCAAAAGATTTTTTATGCATAAGATTTACAAAATATTTACTTTTAAATAATTTTATGCAAAAAATAATTGGTATTTTACATAAGATTAAAAATCAATATTTTTGCACAAAAAGTTACAAATTTTTTTGCAAACTCTGGGAAAAAAAATTTGAACCCCCAATCAGAATTAATTTCATATTTCCAATCTAATTAATTACTCTAATTTTTTACTTTTCAGTATAAGAAATGATCTACAATCAACAAAATTGTAAAAATACAATTAATGATTTATTGACATTACTGATTAAATTCAAAATAGTAAATCAATAAAATTACAAGTAAACAATATTTTATTTACTTTACTGATTAGCAGAGTTGTTAAAAGATACTTTTTAAATGGATCTAGATATAGATACAGATACATTGTCTAAAAATTTATCTAGACACAGCTTCTAAATGATTTTTAGATATTAATAATATATATGATTAATATAAATAATTATTATATATCATTAATAAAATAATATATGATTAAATGTTTATAAATAATTATTGGATTTCAGTAACAACCACTGTCTGTTGGCAAATATTATTTTTTTGTGGAGCTAATGTTTTGATCATTTTTATAAATGAAGGATTTTCAACAATTGAAAAAATGTTATCTATAATAAAATCAGTTATTAAATCATCTAAAGTGGTTTGGGTTAATGTCTGAGGTCTCTTGGAAAAAAAATAAATGGACGATTAGCCTAGTCTGATATTTTCTTTAATAGATTTTTTCTCCTTCCACTTTTTTTTAAGAGTGTTTGATGTTTTCTATTAAAATTAAATTTGTAAACATTTATTTATTATCTATACCCTTAAATGTTTTACAATGTTACAAGTTGAGGTAATGCTAACTGAAATTTGCATATTTTTTGGTAGACATGGCAAACATTTTACTAACAGAGATTTGTTTTCTTTATTTTGAGATATCATTTTAAAATATGGTCTATAAATTGGCCATGGAAGAATGTCATCATTTTCGTCATCAATATAATAGAATAAAATAAAATACCAATTCCATTGCAATTAAAAATGGCAAATTCCTTGAGATGGATTGTAATATCAGAATTTGCTTATTATTGATAACTAGGACATAATATTTAATTAATATTTATATATTCTTTTTTATATATAAGTTTTAATATTTTACATATATATATATATAATTTTTTAATATATATTATATTAAGTTATATGCTCATATGAAATAAAATAAATTTTACATTCAAGTATTTTTATTTATAATATAAAAAAGCGTTAAATAGAAGTATATCAAAATGTATCTTAAAAAGTATCTAGATACAGATACTAGAGGTGGGCGCGGGTCGTGAAATTACGCGGGCGTGAGTGTGAATAAATTTTAAATTCCAAGGCGTGACGGCCCTTCCCAAAATTTTCCCCGGGCGTGATCGGGCGTGAACATAAATTTCCCGTGAATCACGGAAATTTTAATTTTTAAAATTGTTTTTTTATAAATAAATATAAATTTGCAATTTTTTAATTATATTATATATTTTTTTATTTAATTTAGTTCTTTTTTAAAAAAGAATAATTTATGACTAAAAATCTTCCGCATTTTGTAAACAACATCCGGTATCATTTTGTTAATTCTATTTTCTTTTTATGTTTAGGGGTTTATCGCGAGACTTTATGCTAAATTTTGCTTAAACTTTTTACAGAAATGTTAGTTATATTTTATTTGTAAAGATCTCCAATCTTTAAATGCAACAGAAAGTGAAGGAAAGCTAGGCCAAGAGATAAATCTTGGTGTTACATATGGATAACAAAATATAAAAGTTGTGAACCGGAAAACTCTCATGAATACTATAGGTCCAAAAATATACCATAAAATAAAATTTAAGATTAAAAGCATGATCAATAATAATTACTTGTCCATAATCACTGATATTTGACTGATGGCTATAAAAATCTAAGTAACCATTACAGGACATATTATCATTAAGGATTTTAAATTAAAAACATTTGTTTGAGCCATAAGGGCAATGGATGAAAAAAACGTCAAAATTAAGTAGTCAATTCAATTTTAGGAGAATATACAGAAGTAGAAAATTACTTAAATAAATGTATAGTTGTGAGTGATAACGGAGCAAATCTTATAGGTACATTCAAAGATGACGAAACGCTAGCATGTATATGCCATATACTAAATAATATTATGCATTATATTTTTGACAATTGTTTAACTGAAATAGTCTTAAATATAAATGGTGTAAAAAATAGTACAATATTTCAAACAATCTACAGCTAATATCAAACTAAGCCACACCCTTAAACAAGATGTAATAGCTAGAATAACGAGATGGAACTCTGTATATATCATGATTCAGAGTTTCTTAAAATCATATTCTGAAATACAGGCGTACTTGTATAATAAGCAAAAATTAAATAAATTAGCCACAATTGATATCAATATCATACGTGAGTTAGATAAATATTTAAAGAATGCTCGAATAATCTGAGAGCAGATTCTCGTCCCACAATAAATAAAGTTTTTCTATGGAAACAAAAATTAATAAAATTTTGTTAACCTTCTAAACGTGATACAATAATAATCAAACCTTAAAATACAGAACAAGATTTCTTTTAAAAGATTATTATGCAGCCACACTACATAAGGTAGGCTTAATTCTAGATCCGATTTCAAAAGACCTAAGTTTTTAATAAAAGAAGAAAATGATATATATAAAACAATCATAAAAATGCTAAATGATATAAAATTAGATGATATGCATAAATCGATGCCAACTATCATTTATAACTTTCCTAACTTATCCTAAACTCATAAAAAACCGTATATTCTAAATAGTCAATACCAACTATCACCTTCCTAATTCATCCTACACTCATAAAAGACCGTATATTATAAAAAAAAAATTAGAGAATTTCTAGATGATTCTGATGAAGCATCAACATCACCGATGAAAGCTGTGAGGATGAACTTAAAAGATTCATATAGGATAAATAACGACAATATTTTAAAGTTTTGGAAATTCATTTCCTTTTTTGAGAAAATTATAGAGTAAAATTTTGTCAGCTGCAAGTTCGTCTTCTAGTGAAAAGTTATTTTCTGTAGTCAATCTCTTATTAGAGGAAAGACGTACACAATTGAAATAAAAAAAGATGGACATTCTTCTTTTTCTAAATAAATTTCGATTTATAGATTATATTTATTTTTTATTATTAATATGGATTATGAAATTATAGAAATAAATAGAATGAATTCAAAAAAGTGTAAAATTATAGCAATAGTTTTGAAAAATTTAAAAACACCGTGAATTTTCGGGCGTGAATCAAAATATTGCTTGTCGTGAGCGGGCGGGTCGGGTCGAAAATTTTTTAATGGTAAGCGTGAATTTTTTTATAAACACCGTGAGCGGGCGGGTCGTGAATGAAAAATTAGGCCCGCGCCCACCTCTAACAAATACCTCTAAAATAATATATAGATACAGATACTTTAATCAAAAAACCACATTTTTATATCTAGATAACTCTGCTGATTAGAAAATATTGAATAAATTTATTAATTATGAAACGTGACTCACCAGGAATTCTTTTTGCAACCAAAAATATTACTCAACCTAGTTCGAATTATAGGTGGTCAATTCAGCAAAACTTTTATCTCAAAATACTTTAGAAAACCTTTTTTGTGAATGTAAATATCACAAAACCATCTGCCAGACATTTCTGTGAACTTAAACTGCAAACATTTTGGAGAAAATACATTATTGCGATTATTTACACATCATTATTGCAAAACAAATATATTGTGAATTCATTTATTAGAAGGAATACAACATATTTAATATATATTTACCAACATAAGTTCTTAAACGTAAGCACAAAATGTTATAAGGGTATTTTGTTATTTATCATCTATTAAGTAAACAAGAGTTTGTGACCTTTATTTGATCTGATGGAAAATTAGTTAGAAATTTCTTCCTGATCTCTCTTAGTTGTGGTCTTAAATATGAAAGGGGCATTTTAGATTTAGTTTTTTATCCCAATTATCCCCTCTTTTCACTATAAAATTTGAAAATATAAAAAATGTGCTTTATGCAATTCAATGTTAAATTTTAGAAAATATTTTAAAATGCTTAGAATTTTTTCTTACTCAAGTTAAAATACTGAAAGCTAATAATTTTCTATTTTTAAAAAATCATAGACGATTTTGCTAAGTAAAAATTTTGATTTTCTTTAAATAATTTTTTAATTTAATTTCTTATTAAAAAAAACAATTTACAAAGGTCATATAAATAACAATTAAGAGATCCGTTTATTTGCATAGGTATTTGGAACCATGAATGGCAATGCAATTACTTTGATGAATAGCCATCGTAATGGCTTGTTAAAAAGCTTCACTATGATCACGACTTGTTTCGCTTAATTTTTGTTAGAAGCTCTGAATTATAGAATTTTGAGAATAGATTTTGTTTTACACTTTTTAATATTTTATTTTTAATAAATTCTCACACTTTACAACGTAAAAAAAATCTAAGAATTCACAAAATATATATGGTGAATTCCATATCAAATTAACCAAGATTTCAACCCACCCCCTTCAATTTTTCTTAAATTTTGTATACTGGTATACTATAACTAAGAAAAAATGAAATTTTACCTTCCAACACGTTTACCCGCTAAGATATGGCCGTTTAAAGCGCGGAAAAATAGTACATTTTTGACAAAATGCACCTCATTTATTTTCAAATATCTCGAGTAATAATTAAGTTAGAAAAATAATTTAAATTTTATTCTGTAGCTTAATAAAAGTTCTTTAAAATGACATAAAAATAAATATGATGGACATTTTATTAATATCGAAAACCGGATGTGTAAAACCGGAAATGGCCATAGTAAAGAAAATATTTTTTTTCAAATTTTTTTTTCTTTAGATAGATATTACAGCTTTATATTTGTACAAAATCCTAGATTGGGATGAACATGGGTTTAGGAGTTATCACTCTTTATATGGCTAAAATTGAACAAATTTAACATTAATATCATCATATTTTAATTTAATGAATAGTTATGAAATAATGTTAATTTAAAAATTATGTCTAAATGATAGGCCCTTTCTTTTTTTCATCTTTATCTAAATTTTTGAGAAGTGGCTGGAATAGTTAAATTTTGTCTAGAAGTTACTTGACAAAATAATTCTAAACATATTTATAACTTTATTTGGCATTACATATAATAATCAAAAATTTATAATTAAAATATATCATATATTAGAATCATCCAAGGAATTTTAATAAATTATGACTTTTGTTTTCGTCTAGGGGAATAAAAGCTTGGAACTTTGTGCAGATATTCTTTTTGCTCTCAAAAATCTGCTTTCAAGATGACTTTCTATGTTCATATATTCATTATTGCTCACTAATATATAATTTACCCCTTTGATATTATTTCTTGCATAGTTAAATAAATCTATTGTTGTCAATTTGTGATGTTCATATGGACGTTGCAAGCTTGCTCGAGCTGCTAACCTTTAGTAACGGCCCCCAAAATGCCGCATGGACTTTTACCTTGTGCGGTTTCAAAAAATGTCACTCAGCCTTTATCCCAAAATTATTTTCATGATTGTAGAGTAACTAAAATTTATTATTTTTATATTGGTTACTGCTCCATCAGAAAAATAATAAATTTTAGCCACTCTATTAAATCCTTCCTTCAAGAATACGATCAATTTTTAAAATAAATGCACATGCTTTGTGCTTTAAACAATCTCATATAACCACTAAATTTACATGTTTTATTATATTGTTCTCACGGTAATAAATTATAAAAGAGTTGATAGTGACTTGATTATTGGTCTGATTAAATCTTTGTGCATGGTTCTGCACTACAAATGCATAGTTTTCTGAAAAGTCTGCAATAACTAAGAATTCGTCAACATTTAAATTAAATTTTAAAAAGTTTCGAATTAATGATTATCGTGAAGCTATAAACAAATGAGGAAGTAAATTGTTTAATAATTCAATTAAATAATCTACAAATTCGTCAGCGGATTTTGTCAGTGTTTTGAGGAGTTCGATAAACTGCTATCCATTGTTTGAATGTTTTGTAATCTATAGAATTCTCGTCAAATAATATATTAAGCCTTTCTTTTAATTTTTAATATATGGGGGAAAATTTATTGTTGAATTTAAATTTTGGTAGATTATTTTATGCTAAATAAAATATTTAAAATTATTTTGTCAAGTAATTTTAATTTCGAGATAAAATTTAACTAAAGTTTTAAACAGCTCATTATCCCAGCCACCTCTCAAATTTTTTTTATAAAGATAAAAAAAGTAAGGGCCTATCATTTAGACATAATTTTTAAATTAACACTATTTCATAACTATTCATTAAATTAAAATATAATGATATTAATGTTAAATTTGTTCAATTTTAGCCATATAAAGAGTGATGACTTCTTAACCCATGTTGATCCCAGTCTAGGATTTTGTAAAATATAAAGCAGTGTGATATCTATCTACAGAAAAAAAATTTTTTAACGGTTTTACACATCCGGTTTTCGATATTAATAAAATGTCCATCATATTTATTTTTATGTCATTTTAAAGAACTTTTATTAAGCTACAAAATAAAATTTAAATTATTTTTCTAACTTAATTATTTCTCGAGATATTTGAAAATAAATGAGGTGCATTTTGTCAAAAATGTACCATTTTTCCGCGCTTTAAACGGCCATATCTTAGCGGGTAAACAGTGTTGGAAGGTAAAATTTCATTTTTTTCTTAGTTATAGTATATTCTACCAGTATACAAAATTTAAAAAAAATTGAAGGGGGTCGGGTTGAAAATCGACTTTTTTTTTTGATTTGATATGGAATTCACCATATTTATTTTATTTTTCATACACAATTTTTATTTTTTATTAAATTATCCCAAATTATCTTCAACCCTTTTTTCTTTAATTTCTCTCTTACCAAAGAATTTATTTAATCCAACATTTAAAAAAAAAAACTTTAATAAAATATTCTACTAAATAAATTTTAATAAAAATACTTTAAAAAAAATTTAACAACATATATCCTTAACTCACACATTACCCTTTTTTTTACTACCCATTACTGGTTAACGGTGCATATATATACCACCTCCTATATATCATTTTTAAACAGTAGTTTTTATTTAAAAAAATGTTTTTATATAGTTTAGACTTTAGACATTGTACCTCAAAACTAAAAAGAAAAATGTGAAAAAAATTTATTTTTATGTCCCTAAGAAGCCCTCAAACTATATATTTTTTTATAGAGATATCAATATTTATCAATCATTTTTGAAATTTTAAATAATTAAAATTTTAATTGGTAACCATATAAAGTTGACTGGTTCATATATGCACCGTTAACCATCTAGCAGTATAAATTTTTTTAAAAAATTCAAATAAATCAAATTTAACATAATGAATTATAATTTTTTATATTATACTTAAAACTATTACAATTACTAAGGAGGGGAAGGGGGGAGGTAACTCGAGTCCCCTGAAAGTTTTGAAAAAAATTTTTATACCCAAAAAAAAGGCCTTTTGAAAATATTTTTGAGCCCCCTGAGAATCGAATAATATGTTTCTTTTATAATTTTTTATCTCGTATAATTATATTAAATCGCAAATATTCGGTTCATAAATATTCGAAAATTAAAATTATTCATAAAGATTTTAAATTATTTGTACCTTCTTCCTTGCTGAACATTTTTTTTCTTAGCACCTGTTTTGTCAATTCAATCAAAATTATCAAAATAATAGATGACTAATTAAAAAATCAAGATTCTATAAAATAAATATTTAATTTTTAATTAAAATTTTTAAATGAATCGTTTTTAAAATGACTTAACAAATGACGGAGTTTTACCTTCAGATACTTTGTGAATTGGAGATTTATAATTTAATTGATGACGACATTCCAGAACCATCTGCTACAAGAAGCTATTCTGTAATTTCTCGACATTTAAAATGGAGAAAACAGATTCGTTATATTCTTCTACAATCCCTTTCAATAGGGAAAATGAAGATAAAATAAAACTTGAAGACAATTTGCATAATAAAAATCCATCAGATATTTTTAATTTTCGACGAAGACTTATATTCCCTAATTGTAGATCAAAGTAATATTTATGCAAAACAAATGAATAGGTCTAATAGTATAACCATCCCAGATATTAAGAGATTTATTGGAATTCTATTATTTACTGGATATCTTTCGTTCCCACAGTAAAAGATGTATTTTCTAATAATAGTGATAATTCTATGCCAATAATCCGGAATACAATGACCCAATTATAATTACTAAATTTTAAATATAATATTCATTTGACAGACAATACTAAAAACATATACTTGATAGATTTTATAAAGATAGGCCTTACAAAACCAAATTATCATAAAATATATTTTGATAATTTCTATACCTCAAAACTTTTGTCATACTTATAACAAATGGATATTTTACAATTGCAACTATGAGGGATAATGGAGCATTGCCAAATTGGATCTATAAATGCTGTAGCAAAAAAGAGAGGATATTATGTTTATAGGTTCTAAAAATTAAACGAAATTTTTATAGTTCGTTGGAATTATAATACAGTGGTGACGAGGTATCCCAAGAAAATATCTTCTAAAATAAAAATTCCTCAACCAAATATGATCACTGCTTATAACAAACACATGGGTGGAGTTGATCTGTGTGATAATCCCATATCTACTATAGAATAAAAAGAGAGAAAAAAGAGCGGTGGCCAATATTCACCAATTTTATTGATGTAGCTTTGGTAAATTCGTGGAAAATTTGGAAATTCATCAATCGAGATGAGAAGAGATTGCTTGCATTTAGGCGAGAAGTTACTACTTCCTTTGAACACCGATAAAAATTGAAAAAGATTTAAATACAGGCAAGCCAGTTTGCATTATAGAGCGAAAACTTTACTGCTTCATCTGGTAATTATTTATCCAAAATTATAGATGGAAAAAGACGTAGATGCAGATATTGCCATACGCACTCAAAATATATGTGCCAAACATGTCAAATCACACTTCATACTAAATGTTTCAAGGATTTTCATAATATATAAACATTTACTCGTGTTTATTATAAATTACAAAAAAAAGAATAAAAATTTCTAATTCTTTGATCTTATATAGTATTATACATAATTTTTATCTTTTTTAACCTTAATGGTTAACGGAGCAGATATGCACCAAGCTAGATTTTCTATTTAGGATTATTTTTTTAGAATATCATATTTGAGCATTAATCAATATAATTTGAAAAAATAAAGCATTTTTATCCACTAGAAAAATCTTGACCATTAATGGGATAATGAACCATTACACAAAACAACAACATTATTATCTTCATTTTATTATTTCTTTTTTCTCTCACCATTATATTTCAATTATTTCCCCATTTTACTGCCAGTTGCCTTTTCACAATTTACGTTTCTTCTCTTCTCATTACCGCTTTTTACGATCTACTACTTTTAACTCTTAGGGTGCATTCACAGTAGAGAGCGACACGACATTAAACGAGAGAGCAGCTGATGTGTCATAAGCGACATAGCATTCATAGTAGTTGCGACAAGCATATTTTTATTTTTTTTAAAAAAGATATCTATACAACTAAAATTATTCCTATTATATCTTTAAATGAAAAGGTGAAAAATAATCTGAATGTTAGAAAAGAATAGGAAGGAGAGTTCTCAGTACTATTCCCAAAACTTATAAACAATCCTGAAAATTTTACAATTATATAAGATTAACCAAAATATTTCATTGTATAATCTAAATTGAAATTTTGTATTTAGAAAACCTTTTATTATATTTTAACTCATATTAAATCAAAACTAATGGTAAAAAAAACAAATTTTATTAAAAATCCCACATCAATAGAAGAAAAATTGATGATAACACTAAGGTTTATATTAATTTTATTTTATATAATCAAAATTGCTTAGATATTTGGGAACAGGATGTAACTATCCATCGCCTTTAAAGGGCCAAAAGAATGGTGGAATGCACCTTTGGCATATTGGCATCTAAATGATGTATTCTTAATCGAACCTTGTATACCAATGTCATCAATAGCGAAACAATTATAAAAACTTATGCGCTATTACACAATTTGGTTATTGATAAAGAAAACATAGATCTCCACCCCAAGGATACTCAAGATCCTAAACAAAATAATTATTTATGGAATCCTCAATCTATAAAAAAAACCCATAAAGGTTTCTAAAGATATTAGAGATGCCTTTTCTGAATATTTTTATAGAAATAAATTATCATGGCAAATATAGCATTATAATTTAATAAATTTTAAAAATATTACTCTATTTTTTTTATTGATTTGTAATTATTTAATAAAAAGAAAGTTTATTTATTATATGTGTCTTAAATATGATTAAAATAATATAAAAGCCCTCCAATGAAATAATAACAATGCATTATAATATTTTTTATTATTCTTGATCACTGTCAAAATTGAAGAGTATATCAAAAATAATTTTAATAAGCTTTTTATTTCCCCTTTCTGATCTTTTTGCAAGGGTTTGCTCAAGCATGACATTGATCCAAGAATTTGTAGATAATCTTCTTTTTTTCATTTTTTCTATTTCAAGTATTTGCTCAAAGATCTAGTTTAAAATAATAAAAATATTTACAAATGCAAATTACCTTGATCAATATCCCTCTTTTAATTAATTTTTTGCAAGATAAATTTGATCATATAATAGTTGATAGTGATGTTAAATATATATAATATTATTTATATAAAATATGATTACAATCATTCCTTAAAATTGTAGCTACACTACTTGTCTCTATGCAGGGGATTTCAATGGCTATGTATTAATAAAATCTTAACAAAAATTAGTATATTTATATTTATCATCTTCAAATTGATAATTTTCATTACCACTCATTTGTTCATACATTGCTCTAGCAATATTTGCTTCATCAATTTTAGGTATAACAGGATTTGTTTTTTTCAAATTGGTATACTGAATCCCTGGCTCTATAGTTTTTATGTTCCCTCATAAAGCAATCTCTTAAATTTTCCCATGCTGATTTGGCCATCTCTATTGCAAAAGAAAAATATTTCAAATTAATATACTCTTTAATTACCTGTCTCAATATTGTTTTCAGCTGATGGTATCTGATGGAGTTGATCAAATCTTCTTTAATGATTTTCTATAAAAATTTATTAACATAATATTCATTTATATTATAATGTATATATTATAACATTTATTAATTTAATAGCATTTCAAAAATTTACTTGCAAATTTTCTTTTTCGTCCATATTGTAGTTATGTCGCTTTGAAAAAAAACAAAATGTTTTGTAACTTGTTTCTATGTTTAATGCGACAAATCTGGCGGGAATGTCGTGTCGCGTCGCAAAAGCTCACTATTAATAGTCATTGGTAATTACATATATTTGTATTTTGTCGTGTCGCTGTCGCTCTATTACTTTTTTTATAACAAACAACTTTATCTTTTAATTCCTTATCGTTTTCATTTTCAATAAAAATTGCACATTAACAAACATATTACAATCCCCACTCATATAAACATTTTATCTTCCAACCTTCTTTTACCAAAGATAAATTAAAATAAATAAATCAAGTTAAACTTTAATACAATGACCTTTCTAATACCATAACCACTTTACCCACATATATTACTTCATGATTTTATTACTATTTAAAAAAAAATTGCACATGTGCATCTAATTTTTACAATTTTCTTATTAACAACATTAAAATCAAATTTTAATATTTAATACATTATTTCCTTCATTCCACAAGAACTACCAACTTTTAATTCATATAAAATTTTACATAAGCGATCCATAACCCTTTTACCCCTGAATAATTTTAGAATATATAATTCCATAATTCCCTCAGATAAATAGTATTTACATTTCTCATATATATATATATTCCCAATTTTTTCCTTTAATTCCTTCTTTTTTTTATTACATTTTCATACCCTTCTTGTTATCAATTACTTTCAATGCTTTTTGACCCCCTTATTATCCTCCACTCTCTTTTAAACAAATATCTACCTTAGAATTTACCAATCGACCTAATTTCTTATCAAAAATTTCTCCATATTTATTTTCCAAATTCATCACTGCTTTTTGTAAAATCTTCAATTTTTGATTTACCTCAATAGTTTCCACTACTATATTGTCCTCAATTTTTTTTAACCAATTTCGCTGGTATAATTTCTAACACCGGAATTTACATCTTTCAAATTCTTTCTTCCAACTGATTAATATACCAATCCTTTTTGGTATTATTATTTTCATCCTTTAATATTATCTCAAACTCTAAATCTGATTCTTTAAAATTTTTATCACCTCCTATATCATTACCTTTCAACACTGATTCCGCTACAATTAATTCATTGCTTATTTCTCCTTTAAAATCCTTGTCACTAATTTTCGAAATATTATCAACTTCCAAATCAACCGAAATATTATTAATTTCTACATTAATATTTTTTTTAATTTCGGTATCAGGTATTATACTTATGTCAATTTTATTATCCAAAATATCAAGTTTCTCCTGACCCATTTTATCACTCATAATTTTTTCATTTTTCTGAATTTCCTCAGAATTATGTAATACATTTTTAATTTCACCACTTTTTAGCATTTTATTTTCCAAAAATTCATTTTCTTTATTATCACAAATTCCTTGATTATTATTTAGCATACTCTCAATTTTCATATTCTCTAAAATTTCATCTTTCATCACCCTATTTCCCAAATTTTTAGCATCTACCTCATTATCATTTTTCCCTTGAAATATATTCAGCAAAATATTTTCTAATACAATTTTTGATATCCAATTCCATACCAGAACTGTATAAATGTTTTCTTCTAATACCCACAAATTCAAATTTATTATTTCCTTATTTATTAATACCGGTAAATTTATTTTTCCCAATACCATAATTTCTGAACCATTCAATTGTTTTACCCTCATTTTATCTTTAATTATGTGTTCATTCGGCCATAATTTGTAAAATTCATCATAATGACAGATGTTGCCCCTATATCCAATAACATCAAAAATTTCTTTATTTCCTACATTCACTTTTATTCTTGGACATTGATCAAAATTTTTATTATCTTCCAACTTTAAAATCGGTAAATTACTAATTTGTATATTCTTTCGTGTTACATTTTCTAACATATTTTTATAAATCCCATAAGTGTTATTTCAATTTCCTTCATTTTTTCTTTCTATTTCATTATGATCATTTACCTTGTTTTTATATATATTTTCCTTTAATTGATCCAACAATGTTTTTATTTCACTATCATACAGTCATCCTACTGTACAATCTTTCGCATAATGACCAATATTACGACATTTAAGACACGTTATCACTTCCATATTTCTTTTTTCATAAATATTTTTCCCTTTATTTTTTCTGTATCCACCGCTGGAAATGCTTTGGAATTTCCCTGTTGATTTTTTATAACACTTATCCTGATTATGCCCAAACTTTCCACAATTTTCACACGCAACTGTAATTTTTGTTTTTCATTTAATAACTTGTATAGAACATAACATTCCTTGGCATTATGTCCTTTGTTTCCACATCTTTTACAAACTATTGGTAACATTCTTTAATTTATCTTTTTATTACATTCTCTGCTTATATGACCATATTTCCCACAATTATAACATGTTCTTGACCCGTTCCACCATTATACCTTTGATTTGCCTCATTCAATTTTTTAATTTCCCATTTCATTTCTTCAACTTTTTTAAATAATTCTTTTTTTTATTTTTCTTTACTTTCTCTTTCCATATTATCTTTCTCAATTTTCTTTTTTTTTATTTTCAATCTTTATTTCTTTTATTACTATATCCTTTATCATATTTATTATCTCAATTTCATTATTTTCACTTCCTATATTTTTATCTTCCGTATCAATTTCATTTCTTTCTTTTTCAGAATCTCTAATAATCTCTGTTTTATTAACATTAATTCCAAATTTTCTTTTTTTCAGAATTATCTCCAAAGATATCTCTTTTTAATATTCCATATTTTTTTATCATTTTTCATCATATATATTTCATTATATTCCATTTTATCATATTTTTCCCTATCCATTTGTTTTAACAATCTTATTTTATTCGCCTCCCTATTAATATTTCTTCTTTTATACCAAATATAAATGCTTAATATTAGACTTACAACAAATACTAAATATTGAGACAAATTTTTGATCTCTATGTAATTATAAGCTCTTATAACTTTTTTGTTGAACATTTTTATTTTAATTTATCTTACAAATTTTTAAATTTTGTGTATTTATAATAAATTTATTAAAAATTTTATTATAATCTTTATAATTCTAAATGAAAAAAAATATGCTAATGCAATTATTGTTAATAAAATTATTAGATAATACCAAAGTTATTAAAGTAGCGCGCTAACTTTTTTGGTAGCTATAGCTAATAGCAGCTACTTTTTTTGTAATTATTTAATTTTTTAGCGCGCTACTTTTTTTTGAAAAATATAATGAAGGTAAGTGTAAACATGAAAATTTAAATATAATATCATAATTTATTATGATTTATTATTTGATTTTGAAATTAAAATATAATTTCAATTTGTAAATTATATTTTCATTTGTATTATAAACCTAAATCACGTGTTAATAATTTAAAATGTCATCGCCTATGGATATCCAAATCGTTGAAAGTGATTCTGACAATGATATTAATGAAATGGAAGATACCAGGGAAGAAAATGTTCTTAATAGCTATAATACAAATTTCCCATTCCCTAGATTTGGAAATTTTTTTAAATAAATATATAACCAAAACTGGTTTCAAATTTATTTGTTTAAAATGTAAAAAAAAATATCTCCTCAAATTAATCCAGAAGCTATAACCTCAAGAAACACCTAAAGGTAAATTGTCATTTTTACATTCTAATAATATTTATTTTATAAGACTGTTCATAAGTTTTAAGGAAATGGAGAAACATCTTAATAATTTTGGTATAGGCGACTCTATATCCAAAAAGACTAATTCAATTTAAACCAAATTAATTAATAATGCAAATGACAATATTTCTCAGAAATTGGCTGATAAAGTTATTGTTGATTTTATAATTTATACAGTTCAGTCAATGTCCTTAGTTGATAATCCATCATTTACCATGATGATTAAAATTCTATTCCTTGGTACAACAATTTTACGCCGCCAGACACTAATGAATAAAATAGCAGATAACTTTAAAATGATGAAAGATGCTCTAATAGTAGTTATCAGAGATATCATATATATGTACCACGGGAGATAGTTGAACACATAACAGAAGGTAAAAATTTATTTATATTTATAAATTGATCTGATTAAATATTTTTGAGCTTATTTGGGTATCACAGGCCATTGGCTAGACCCTAGAACTTTAAAAAGAAGATCTGTGGCATTAACCCTCAAAATGATAATAGGATACCAGACATACGATGCACTTGCAAATAAAATTATTGATAATCTATCTTATATTAAAAATATGTATATAAGATTAAATGCACCCTTATACTCAAGTGCTACTGTCGAGAGATTATTTAATAAGGTAAAATTTATACTTTCTGATCGTCGCTCTAGACTTGGCGATGATAATATTGAAATGATTTTATTATTAAAATGCAACAAATTACCATAAATATTTATTTTTATTACATAAATTTTTTTATAATCAAAACTAACTATATTTTAATATTTATAAATGTTGATTTTTATATATTTACTATACAATAACATTATAAGCAAAAAATAAAAAATTTGTTTGTAAATTTTTTTTATAAATAGTAGCTAATAGCGAGCTACTTTTTTTGACAAATAGCGATAGCGGTAGCGCGCTACTTTTAAAAGTAGCGTTTAACAACTCTGGATAATTCATTAAATTATTTAGAACAAAATTTTACCTTATTTCGAATTTTTATTTTCCACCGTCGTATATTTTATAAGTACACTGCGTCCACTCTTCCCAGATATCTTCTCCGTGGTTGAAAAAAATAAACGGCACCAACTGTTAGAAGCTCTGAATTATAGGATTTTGAGAATAGATTTTGTTTTACACTTTTTAATATTTTATTTTTATTAAATTCTCACACTTTACAACGTAAAAAAAATCGAAGAATTCACAAAATATATATATATTTTTCCAATATTATTTTTTTTTTATCAACTATTTTTTAATAAAATAAATAAATATTTATTATAATATAACAATTTGTTCTCTAATAATAAATTTAAGATCACCAAAAAACGCCAAGGGTAACTAGTGAGATAAAAATTACTCTAGTGATGTCTGACAAATTATTTCCTTGCATAAGTATATATTATTGGGCTCTAGGATTTTTGGGAGCTTATTAGATTAAATTATTTATTTGTATGCTGTGAGAGGCAGCTTTTGGAATATCTACTATGTAAAGGATGGTAAAGAACAATCAATACATTTCGAAGGAAGCGATATATCGCAGCCAAGACTAGGGGAAATAGCTATACGAAGGAAGATAAAGATTTTTTCGTGGTTGAGACATTGTTATATTGATTCATTAATAAGAGGAAACCAATGGAGTGAGACACTAGGGGAATATCAGAAGCCTTCTGAAGGGTGTCATATAAATTTATTTAAGTAAAAAAGATTAAAAGTTTTATCTTTTAATCGATCTTTCAACCTATTTTTCAAAAATTTTATTTAATATGGTCTTAAAAATAACTATTATTACACTATTAGTAATTATGACGTTCGCGCTAATAAATTCGCTAAATAGTTTTCGCAATTTGGGTTTGGCGATAATGACTTGGCTATAAAATTTTCGCTCATAAGCGTTCGCGATAAGGGTTTTGCTAGGAAAAATTATAATCTTGGCAAATAGTATTTGCGATAAAAGCTTCACTATAATAAACATTCGCGAAAAAGTGTTTTGCGATTTTTGCTGAATTCATATAGAACCGGAGATGATTTCTCCAATTTTGATTATAAACGGATATTCATTATTCGAAAAAGTTTCATGATTCCTAGGGCCACATTGATTGACAAACAGGCATATTCGAAAACAATTGAATAGTAATGAATACAAATAGTAAATTATTCTATAAGTTTTTTATTATTAATAAAATTGAATAATTTAAATAAAAATTTTATTATATAATTATTTCCGAATTTATATATGAAATTTGTTGAATTTTATCTAAAATTCAATATTTCAAACCCTATTAAAGATAAATAAAAATATAATTCTTTTTAAAAAAAATATATATTTTGATAAAATCTAGCAAAATTATGGAGAATATAATGGCTCAATTTATTAATTGATCTTAACGATCAAATTGGCAAAAAGTCCTCCCCAAGAAAGAGGGACATTTGGGAACAATATGAATACAGTAAGAGATAGTGAAATGGCTGCTTGAAACATTACAAGTACATTATAAAATGTAAAGAGAGAACAAAATCTTTTCAATTATTATAAGTTCCACCCTATTCTCACCTGAGTAAAAAGAGTTGCAGTATAATTTTTTTTAGACCCAAATATTCAACTCTTTTTTTTAATCGATAAAGATTATTTTTAGAGATAACAAAACTTTTTATAGATAATAATTTATAGCATTTAACTTAAATATTTTATAAATCTTGAAGGAACATTTGTTAAAGAAAATAATATTCAAAAATATGAGTCAGATAAATTATTCATCTGTACTTAGATCAACTCAACTTAGGTTATCACTCTAGGGTTAAAAGCCAATTTTATTAATTTGAATTAAATTAAAATAAAAGTTCAATAAAAATTAAAAATAATTGTCAATATATTTATGATTTGTTTAATATATCTTAAAAAAACGAATTACTCAAATTGAATACTATTTGTACAAATAGTATATTATTCAATTCATTTAAACAAATCAAATACGAATAAAATAATGCATTATTTATATTCCCTTTAGGCTTATTGGTAAGGTTTCATTATTATATATTTAATTATTTGCCTATAAGAACTTCTAAGCTATTACTTCTTAATTATTCAGAAAAGTGTTTTATTTCACTCACTTACATAGATTATAGTTGTTTCTTGTTTAGAAATATGATTACCAAGGGGTGTATAGCGAAAAGCCCACCCATTTTTTTTAATGATTAGCCTCTTCCAAATCTCAAAGAGAAACTGAACCCCCCTAGCCAAAAAAAAATTTAATGCTTTTTCAAAAATGTTAAATTTGAATTTTTTTCTCTACTATTTTTATAAAAATTTTATGGCGGTGGCATGGCGGTTAAAATTTTTAAATGCGATTTCATTATATTCATATATTTTTTATATTTCAATTAGTACATAAACATAATGCATATTATTCTTATCTTTATTTTATTGGACATACAAGTTTTATACCATCCTATATACAATTATCAAACCACTTTATCTAATAATCTTTAAAACTTTTTCAGTATGACAAACTATTCGCATTATTAAATCGATTCAGAGAATCTGTGTAATTTCTTTCTCCCAAAAGTGATCAAAATAGGTTTATTATTTCACAGTTAATATAATATAAATCATTTAATCTGATAGCTCAGATAATTTCTCTAAAATAAATATGCAAAAAAAGCTTGATCATGGGTTCGTAATTACCGAACTGCAAAAAATTTATTTTATATAATTATTTTATTAATGAAAATTTAATTTAAATATTTTGAACATTAGATATTAACGACACTACTTGATCCGAGATTTTAAAATCTTAAATATTTTCAGAATATTTGGTTGAATTATATTACATCATTGTAATTTATAATTTGACATTTAAAACTTATAGAGCATGATAGAAATGGGCTAAGATCCAATTCATATAGCTCATAAACATTCCCTTCCAGCAACGATTATTATAACACAGACTATCTAGAGGGGGAATGTCATATTTTACTCGGCCAAAAAACTATACCAAAACAGGATGCACTAATCTTTTGATAAAAAAAGCGACTAGAACTTACTAGACTTGCTAATTTAGCTAGAAATGTATCTTGCATGCTAGCTACCAGTATACCTATCGAAAGATTTTTCAAAGTCAAAAAGGATCTCTTTATGCCCCACTAATCTCGACAAAATAATATTTATTCAAGGCAATTATAATTTAACTAAATTCGATTTCCAATTTATTTATATTTCTTACTTTATATTTTGTTTGCATTCCAAATTTATACATAAATAAAAATCGATATAATATGACCTGAGTTAAAAAGGCAATTCCCTAGACTATTTCAGAAAATAAAAAATACATAAATATATATAGGTTTGGGAGGAAATGATTTAAGAACTAAACTATATTAACAATGTTGAAATGAAGAGTCCAAATATATTATAAAAAAATGTGACAAATTGAATTGTAAATTAAATCCATTTCTAAAATATGTAGCACCACCGATTCCGCGACCTTTTTAGACGGCGGCTAATTCAGCAAACCGATGAAGACCGATAAAAAATATTTAAAAAATCGCCGCGGATTGAAACCGACGCACATGTTCAACCATATATAACAAAACAAAGGTCAATAAAACAATGTTGGTTGTTGAACAAAATGAAATATTAATCCTCAGTGATGATAAGTTTTAAAATTTTTGCTTTATTGGGATCCCTGAAATATTCTGGTGTAATAGGCGTTATTGACCCATTAATATTTTTAACAAAATTTTCTTTTAAAAAATTTGTAACACCCATAGAAATTTTTATATCGCCGCTTTATTTAGAGCATAGTGAAATTCCAAGTCGTGGTGATAAATGGCTCCATTTTTACCAGGTTTTGAGTCGACTAGAAAGAACCGAATTTTTAAGTGATAATCAACTTAGCCTCGATTGAGATTTTAACTTAAATAATAGCTCAATCTGAAAAAAATATATGGTCTCTATGCTTAGCGAATTTTTTTAATTGTTAGGATTGAGAACCAATTTAACAACGCTACAAGCAATAAATTATCCAATTTTAACAAAATTCGAAATTTTTAAATAGGTGAATTATATAGATTAAAAATATACTTTGAAAGAAATAATAAATTAGATATTTTTTTATCAAATTCCTAGGTGTCCCTTTGCCAAAGAACCATTTTATTGATCGATATTTTAAAAAATTAAATTATTAGGAACATGTTGGCAATAATATTTAAATATCAAGATGAATATTTACAAATGTCGCACAATTCAGAAATTCTTTCCTATATAAAAAATTGTAGCACCCCCTCTAATTTTTAAGCTACACACTGATGATTACAGTATCAAGTATATAGTAAATAATTTATTTAAATAAGGCATAAAATAATTAAGAACAATTTTGAAATAAAAGTAAGGATATATTAATCGTTATAAAAAAAATTAAAAAACCGGTTATTTTTTAAAGTTTTATAATAATTTTAAAATATGAATGGAAAATATTTATAATAGTTATATTATGTTATGGACAACTGTGAAGTGAGAAAAATTTATCGTATTTGAATAAAATTATATAAACTATGTTTACAGTGTAATCCAAGGAAAAACATTTATTATAAATATAAAATATGGTTGAAATGTATGATTTGTGTTATAAATGTTTTTTTTGAGATATTACACATTAAAAAGATTGAATAAGATAGCTAAAAGTATTTTTTTAAAAATGACAAAATTGACTAATCAGTTTTTAAAAGTAAGCTCTAATAGACGTGTAAAATAATTTAAATATATCCTGATTTAAATGAAAAGTCATCGAGGGTTGGAAATTATTTATTGGATCTTAAATTACATACTGCGCATAATTTTTATCAAATAAAAAACAAATTTAGAATTATGTAAATATGATTAAGACATGCTAGAACAAGGAATTCTAGGTGAGCCCATTTGAGTTAATACACGATCAAGCCATTGTAAAGGGCCGTTTAAGTGAACTTCTATCCAACAGGGAGTACTAGTTACGGTTTGTCTACGATATTCAGCACCCCATCCTTATAATAGTGACGTATGCATTTTTAAATTTTATCATAATTATTTTTTTATATTCGTCTTTTATTTATTTTAAAAAAATAAAATTTAAAAAGCATTTTTAAAAGTTCATCATTCAGTTTAGAGAAAACTTAGCTATCTGCCTCGAAGCAACTATTTAGGTTGCTTTTAAAAGAGCCACGATCTGCATTGATTTGAGAATTTTTTTTACCTAAAATCATTAGCTTAGGGAACCTAAGGATGCATTTTATTGAGATGGAATGAACAGAAAGATCATGATGCTTTCTGTCTTTCGACCTTTAAGCTGTAATTTTCAATGTTTGGCTTAGAGGAAAATAAGAAACAGGTCCAAATAGGATGTTATCATCTAAACCAATGGATATTTATTTGGTCTTTTATTTATCACACAGCGATAAATAAGGGTAGTCGCCAAACCTAAGTTATTGGAAATTAATTGCTCTGTGACGAAAACCACACTTAGTGGATAGCTAGGTCATGTCTACTTTTTTGGTTGGTATATTTCTTATAGGTAAAATATGTCACAGCCTAATCTATACCCTATTCTTATCCTAAAATCCTCATCTGATAGCAAAAGACCAAGATTGGCACTGGGAACAGCTTCTAGTCAATCATAGCCCGAGTTTTATTTCAAATAAATATTTGAAAATGAATGTCTTTATTTCTTAAAGTTAGCTAGAAGAGAATTATTAATTGTACCATAAATTGTAGAAGAGATGAGAGGCATATTTCCTCCATAAGTCACAAGCAGTTTTCAATAGTATAATATTAATCCATATAATAGAAAATTTGCAATAAGCTTAAGAAAATGTTTTTATGTCACTCAAAATACAAATCGTTAAGGTAGATTGAGATAATTTTTAAATAAAAACATTAAAAAACTTAAATTACAAGATAATACCGAAATTAATTTGCAAATATATACTTAGTAACTTAAAAAGTTTAAAATGTGCATAGATGATATTCGTGTTAAAAAAATGAAAGAATTTATAAGAAAAATATTGACCTTTAACAAAGCTCATCCTTATAGTGCACATACGAGTCAATTGATAAACTGCTTCAAACCCTTGACTAACTGATTGAGACAGGAGTGCAGCAAATTCTTGATTGTTGAATATCTTTAAGTTGCAGCCTACATAACATGTTCAAAATAGAGAAGAAACATAATAATTTAATAGAATTAATTTTTTAGTTCTTCATGCAGCGTCTACATGGGGGAGGGGGGGGGAACCATTTACCTTATTTTTAAAGGGGTTAGAGTAAAGTAAAAATTTGTAAATTAAATATAAAATAAGTGATAAAAGGATTCTAATTTAATATAATCATTCGATTTTAATAGTTAATTAACTTTTAACTTCACTCATCGATACCATTTTGGTAAAGCTTTATAAACGTCTAATTTTAAATTACATTGAGTAAACTAGGATCATCAATAACAAATGTTTTATTATTCCTTACTTAATTATTAGCCTAAAAGTTTTGATTGAGATTTTGTTGGGAGATTTTAAATGGTTTCTCATTGTAAGAGTTTATTAATATGAGGTTACTATAGTATAATGGGTGGGCGAATATCGAGGCGGATGGTAGCGAAATTTTTTAAAGGGTTAGGAGTAGATTTTGTAGAGGGATTTGCCCCAAACAAATTTTTTATTAGGTAGACGCTGCCTCTCAATTTAAGGTTTATTAGCTTCAATAATCATTGTAAAAAGTTTTTTAACAACTCGTATGGATTGAAATCTGCTCGAACCCTTTTAAAAATTTATAGGAACATAAAAAGAGATAATTAAATTATTATTCTAAAAAGTTGAAATTTTTTTCTGATTTATTTTAAGAGTGTTTAAAATTATCAAAATTGTATTTCATTGTTTATTCACAGTGGAGCTGGAATACTTGAAACAGAGTTAAATATAAGAATTGAAGGAGCAACTTTTAAAAAAAGTTTAGTCCAGCAAACTCTGCTTACAATCCATTGCTGATAATAACCGTTGTGTCTTTTAAAACAAGCTCCATAAAACTTCTTACCCCTTTCTTAACTAATTAATAGAAGTTTTAAACTAACCTGGTGGTATCTTGCAAACCGTAGCTGGGTGCCATCCATATCTCCTATTGCAGTTCGGACTTTGGACAAAGACGGCTGCTCCTCCATTACCTCCCTCCCCATTATTAAGATTGCCATTGTTTACATCCGGACTGTTTATTTCCATATTGTCGCCAGGGCATTCGGCAAACACTTCACCAGCCAGGTAGTAGAGTCGGACGCCACGTCCAATATGCCGCCTAGTGAGTTCAACGGAGCGAGATCTGTTGACATTCGAGAGCTGCCCTAAGCAAAAACGGTCGGCGCTGGATGGATCAGTAAAACCATCCACTGTCACACGCGGACGCGAAGCATGAAAGGTTTCCCCGACGCGAGTATTTAGTTCATAATAGGCCACACTACACCAAAAGGCAGGTTCTTGGTAGGGCACAGGAGCCGATTCGAATGCTGAGGATATATTGGGTGTCAGGGAGGAAAGAGTTGCAAGATTAGATTGTGAATCTGTCAAATAAAATAGATATTTAAGCTTGAACTGAGATTTAAGAGGGTAATAATAACAAAAAGAGTTGCGTAATGATGTCACATTCTTTTTTCATAAGAAAAGTTGATAATAAGATTTCGATGTATGAAAACCGATTCTTGGAGAGTTGAAAGTTAATCCAATAAAAAATAACAAATTTTTAATAATACATCATTTTTTAAATTAAATAAACACATAAAAAACATTTATTTTAAATGAGATTTTATAATATATTATCCTTTACGTGAAAATGAAACATTTATTTTTATCCAGCCATTTCGAAATTATGATAAGAATTAAGGTGGGATTTAAATTAATGACCAAATAAGTATATAAGCCTTTATAAGGTTTAAAATTTATTTATTCTAGAGTCTGCTTGAATGACCATAACGATGGTTAACTAGAATAGAGTTAATTAATTCGAAAAGTCTGATGTTTTTTATGTCAATCTGTTGACTACTTATCTTTAAATCTGCTTTTGTATCAGGACATTGCTTGTAACTCTTTTATTTCCTATATATTTTTCTTTTAAAGATGGAAACTTGATTAAGACTATTCTAATACTTGTTTTCTATCATTTCAACTATGGTTTGTGGATTTTGATGAATGCATGGGGTTCCACCTCTAACGTTTGTTTTGATATTTTACAATGTCACTAATAAATCACAAACAACCTATACCCTTCGTAGTCATGCGACACTACATTTTTAAGAATTCTAGACCTTTTTATTCAACTTCATTTTTATTTTCAAAACGAGTTTAATCTTAGTTGCTCTATTCTATCTTTCGTTGATCCCAATTCTCTGAAGTTTAATTCCAAATGTTTAATGGTTCAATTAATTTTTCTAGCCTAGGCGAAATAAAACTAAATCTTTTTAAAATGAATAACCTATTTAATGAATTGTTCAATTATGGGTGATTTATGAACGTTTCGGAGAACCAAATTAAACACATTCTGATACCACACCAATCTTCTAAAATTTTTAAAACTATTATTTTAGCTATAACCCTACTATCCGGTTTTATCGGTAAAGATATTTGATCTTCGAATAATATTTTAGCGATTTTTATTTGCAATTTCCATTTTATGGCTAATTTATGAGTCATTCATTTAAAGCTTTCAAAGTGGCATTGACAAGAAGAAATGAATAAGGAAAACATACAAAGGGGCCGACCAATAACTTAAGTCAAAGTTCTTACCTCTTAATCTGTTTAACATATAAGAGATATCGCGAGAGTATAAAATATTATAATTCTAAATGTTAAATCTAAATCCAATATATTTTTTAAACTAATCCTAGCTTGAAATAAATTTATTAAGGTTTAAAAAAAAATTAAAAGTTCTATCACTCAATCGATCGTTTTTCACCTTAATTTAATCTTATAATCTGGTTTTAAAAATAAATATTTTCATATTCACGGTATTGCATGTAGGTACTTTTAGGCGAGTATACCTACCCCTACTCTTATAAAACTGTTAATTTCATGAAACTAATTCAAGAGTAGGCAATGATAAATAATATGGCAGAACTAATTTACAAATGTATTGTATAATGGATAAAACTTGCATTTTCATGTATTATCATATTTTCAATTCCATCTTCACTAAGGCATCCTGGCGTATCTTTAAAATATATTTTAAAGGCGTTTTAAACATAATTTTCGAGAAAATGTTCATACAAAATAATCAAAGTTTAGGATATTTAGAGTTAAATGAAATATCGCATCAGATGACCAATATTTTTAAAAAATCAATCTGATCCAATATTTTCATTGATTATATTATGATAGTATAAATAATCATATTTTTTATTTTATATATAATTTAATGATAATAATGAAAATAACTAAATTTCATTTGTGTTTAAAAAAAATTAAATTATTAAAAGATAGAGTAGAGCTATGTTATATTATTTTAATTATATTATTCGCAATAAGAAATAGATTTAAAAATATTTAATTTTTTATATTCAGCTATTGTTGTTAAATGGCTTGACTAAGCAAATATTTAAAAATGACAAACTCAAGTTCTTAGCTAAAAGTAAATTACTTAAGCTTGTAGATTTTGTCCACAGATGGTAGAAAGGTTATGTGGGTTAAAATTATTTTTAAAACAATGGGTGGGCAGAATAATTAAATGTTTTTTGGGCGAAATGAACAAAACGAGTTTATATGTATAAAAAAATATAATTTAATTATTTTATTAGTTCAAGTAAAAATGTAATAAAATAAATAAAGAGCCAAGTCAACCAATCAAATAATTTTTAAAAAATGGGTGGGTGGGTTAAACAAATTTTTTAGATAAATGGGTGGGAAGGTAAATTTAAAAGAGAAGTGAGAAGGTTAAAAAAATTTTAAATATTAGAGATCGGGTTTTCTAGTTAACAAACCTGTTGCAGACTTCTAGTTTAGACATCTATTGGCAAAATTTCGAGGCTTATAATAATAATATTTAGCCAAATTGAGCCATTTAACAATATAGGTACTGTATTATAATGTTCCTAATAAAGATCTGAAAATCATGGCCCAAGCCTGACCCTAGTTCAAGCTTGATCTATTTAAAAAAAATAAGTTCAGTTTGGGCTGGGCCAGAAATATATTTTTTAAAAATTTTGGGCTGTAAGGCTTAAATTTTTAAACATGATATCATTAAATTTTAACAAATAAATAGATATATTTTAAAATTTTTGTGAGAAACAAGGCACTATTATTTTTTATTTGTAGATTTTTTTACAATCAAAAAATATCAAATTTTTCTATATATAAATTCAAGCCTGGCCAGGCAGACAAAAAATTTTTATTTTGGTAGGGCTTTTTTGGGCAAATAAAAAAACTTGCCCAAGATCCAGCCTACAAATTTTTTTTTAAAAATTTTGGGCCAGGCTGGATATCTAGTTCCTATCCTAATTCCTAAAATTAAATAATGCAAACTCATGGTTATCATGATGTATTATTATTGGATAAAACATATTAAGGAAGGTAATTGACAAACATGACATGTTTTTAGAGAAAAAAATTTTTAAATCAATTTAAAAAATATAAAAACAAATCAAATATTGTTTCTCAAAATTATTATTTATAAATTAAAAACGTTAAAATCCTAAAAATTTGCAAGAGAAATTTATAGTGAAGATTCCCAATTGCAGGAGTTTTACAAAAGGGAAATTTTTGCATGTACTAAAAAAATTGTGTGCCAACTGACTGGGGAGACATGGCAAGTGGCAACCCTATTCATAAATGTTCGTGATTTTTATAGAAATTTTTTTTTTTTGAATGGTAAATAAAATTCAATCAAAATATTAGATCAGTTTTATAGTAATATGAGATTGAATCAGTGAAAAATTCGTAGATTGGCATAGCTCTATTATTGATATGAAAAGATGTTTTGCTTATAAATATAATATTTGATATCCTTTTACTTGGCATAAGATCAAGTGATAAATTTGGTAATATGTTAGCATTGTCAGGAATTCTTTCACACAATGTGAAATCTAAGTTATTATTATTTATTAATTCTTCCATGCTAGTAGCATTATTAGCATTAATATTAATATTATTTATTGGAACCATTACTGTAGGTATATCTATATTTAATAAAATAATATCCAATTATAAGATTTTTTTAAAAATCATAAGCATAATTTACAGCAAAGATATAATTCAAAATACTACCTGAAATATCCATTCTGTGATAATGATATGGGTTTATACACAACTCAGATTTTTTAAAATTAAATGGATATTCACAATTGGGCAAAGGTTTTAATTCATTGTGATTTTGTAGATCTGGCCACCTCCATAGCCTACAATATATAACTGTGGGTAAACATTTTTTTTGACTATTCGGTAATTTAGAATCACAAGACCTTAATGATTTAAATAATTAATAAGGAATTTAAAAATTTTACCAAGGTATTGTAACACATTTTGTATTTGGATCTTGAGTAATAAGTGCTTTTTCTAATTCTTCTAACAATATAGGCTTTTTACATTTTTTGGCCAATAATTTCACCATTTTTTCACACCATTTATCTTCATCATAACTTTGGCATTTTTTTAAGTGAATTAACTTCTTAATTATAGCTGGTGTAGAAAAAGCTATAGATGACATTTTGAATCATGCTCAGTCAAAGACGAATAATATTGAGCTAAAAAATAAAGACATTTTGTTGACATCCGTCATTTAAAAAATGTTTGAGTGTAAGTTGCTAAAATGTAAAATTAAACATCTATTTTCTATTCCAATTCTCATTATAGCCATGATTTAATTTAATATTTAAAAAGAATTATAATTAACGTAATTTTGTAATTTATACTATGATGTGCAGAGCAAAAAAGGGAAGATATAGATATATATATATAAATATATCTTATATACATACACCGATATCTTATTAATTAAAATATCAAAAAAAAGTAAGATACTTTGATCTATTGCTATTGAAAATTATTATAGATTAGAGTAACTAATCTCAGGCGTAAGATATTTACAGGGAGGGTGATTATATATATTCTAAATGTTTAGTATATTTTTAATCATCATCTTAAATAAAAAGAAAAATACAACATTATGGGTTAAAATTTGATGAATTTATATCAAATTAAATTTACGTTTTTAGGCTATAAAAATATTACCTTTCAATTAATTATTACCATTCAAATAGTGTGCTATAATGTAGTGGGGTCATTAGGGGGAGGGGGGGGGGAGGTTAGGACGCGCAGGGGCTCAAGATCCTTGAAAAATTTGAATAGCCCCTGAAGCAAAATATTTTTTAACAGTTACTTAATAACCCCTTGAACTAACAATAAATTTTTTTGATTGCCCCCTGAATGATTTATTGTATAATTCTATTATGTAATATATAGATTTTATTTTATTATTTAAAAATTAATATTACCAATAGCATAGCTAGGAATTTTCCTTAGAGGTGGTTCCATACATATAAGGGCCTTCGGCCCTTTTTCCCTGCTTTCGGCCGGGTTTATCTAAAAATCATATTTGTTTTTCTTATAATATAAAAGTCCTAGAATTATTGATTATTTTATTTAGTGTTGTTAAAAGACTCGATTTGAGCCGATTTTTAAAAACAGCTAACTCAATATTTTAGCCAAAAAATATTGCTCAAGCCTAGAGATTTCACAAAAGTCTAAAATTTTGTATCATGAACAAAGTTTTCAGCCTTGCATAACTTTCTGGCTAATATATTGAGTTCACCATATCTGCTCAATTTGAGCCAATAACAACACTAAGTTTAATTAAATTAATACATTTCGACATAACTTTTATAGATATACGTTTAAATTTATTATACTTTTATAGAAAAATTCTATGTTAAAAATAGAATATCTATATCACTCACTAAATATTAATTTAGCATTAACAGTTGATGCTTTTGACTTTTATTATTTAAATTATTATATAACACTAATTAATTATTTATAATCATTTATTAATCAGGGGCGTCGCTAGCATTCACAATCTCAGGGGGCTCAACTAAAATTTTTTTTATTAGGGGCTTAGCTCCCCATACCCCCCAATTTGCGGGCCTTTGACCCGCTATTGCCCGGCCTTCGGCCAGGTTTTATATTAATATATTATACTTTTTTAAAATTTGCTAACTCCAATTATTCTGATTTTCATATTTTGTCATTTATTATATTATGCATACAAAATAAACTGGCATATAAAATATGACATAACGCAATAATATAATTCTTAGCAACTTACATTGACAAAAGGTTATCAAACTAGTATATCTCTCTGTTACCATTTTAGACAATGTTTTATAGAATGGACTAATAAGGAAAAATTTATTGGCCTAAACCTAATCAACAATTTTTGAAGGAGAGAGTATAAACGACCAATCCAAATCATAAAACTATATGGTGGTTAGAGCTTCCTCTTAGATGACATGATGGAAGCTAGATAAGCAATCGAGAAAATTATTGTGAGATATTAAATTTCTAAAAGATTATCTTCCATTTTAAATGATATATAAACGACTACACAGTTGACCATTATTGTTTATCTAAAATATGCAATTATATGCTCTCAGCCGTATAGTGATAATCTTAAATCACATAGCAACACAAATAATAGATGCTGGTTAATTTGCAGTAATAGCCATGACACTCACGATGTAAACTAATATGTTGGTAAATTGATAAAATAAAAACACTAAAAATCTTTGGAAGAAATAATTATGCAAATATATTGAAGCCTGGAGTTATTTATACCACAACGCCATATTAGAAATGAAACGTTTTCTAACTATAAAATAAGGACCAGAATGATATGATGAAACAATTAAGATTTTACATATTATCGCCTTGATATATTATATCTTAAATTAATAGTAGTTTGTAATAATATCAAGAATATACTTGAATTAAAAATTTAACTCAAGACTGTTTTTCGAAAAAGAAAAAAATAGCTTTTCTAAAAACACGTAAAAAAAGAGAATAAAATATATCAAATTTATTACATCTATTGCAGGATGAATAAAAAAATGTTTTATTTTTAAAATTATTTATATCTAAATAGATGGCATTAAATACTTTTATGCAATTTGTTATCATATTTATTATCAAAACCACTTATTAGTAAAATTTATTATAATATTAACTGTAATATATTATATAACTCTCAAATACGTCTATAAAAGTGGCATTATAACTAATATTTTATAAACAACTGTATAGTAGAGGATTATAAACTATATATCTACTACCTTGAAAATATTTTTAAGGTATGATAATAAAATTTAATAAAAATACAGTTGATTAGTCATTTTGAACTCGGCTAATTACAATATTAAATTTGTTAAAATAATATATGATTATATATATTTAATTAGAGTTAAATAATAATTTAAATAATATAAGTCAATTAAACTTTAAAGCTAAATTAATATTTAGTGAGTTATTGATATAATATTTTTAATACAGAATTTGATTGCAAGCTGACATAGTGAAAATATAATTTATATGTATTAATCTAATCTAATAATTAAAATAATATTCATTTAATAAAAAATTAAATAGTCTTATTTTCTAAATAATAAAATTATATCTATTTATTACTTAATGGAAATATAAAAGAAATCATTCAGTGGGCAATCAAAAAAATTTATTTTTAGTTCAAGGGGATATTAAGGAGTCATTAAAAAAAAAATTTTTGCTTCAGGGGGCTATTCAAGTTTTTCAGGGGGCTCGAGCCCCTGCGCCTCCCCTAGCGACGCCACTGTTATTAATAGAAAATTAACAAATTTAATATTTTAATAAGCCAAGTTCAAAATCACTAATCAATTATACCATTCATTTAATTTAATTAACATGCTTCTTCCTAAAAATATTTTCAATCCAAATAAGTATAAGAGATTTCTTGATAAAAGTAAGTAGACATATAGTTTACAATCCTCTATTTTATATAATTAATTATAAAATATTAGGTAAAATGCTATTTTTACAGACGTATTTGACAGTTATATAATATATTACAGTTAATATTTTTATAAATTTTCCTAATAAATATTTTTGATAATAAATATAAGTAACAATTTGCATTCAATTATTTAACGCCATCTTTTTATTTCAAAATTCATTAAAATTAAACATCTTATTATTCATCACACAATAGATATAATAAATTAGATATTTCTTCTCTTTTTTTACGTGTTTTTAGGTAAGCTATATTTTTCTTCTTTGGAAAACAGTTTTGAGTTAAATCTTTAAAACGAATATATTTTTGATGTTGTTACATACAAACTATTATTATTTTAAGATATAATATACCAACTAGAGGTGGTGCGACAATAATATATAAAATCGTAATTGCTTTCATCATATTACTCTGGTCCTTAATTTATAATTACAAAATGTTTCATTTCTAATATGGCATCCTTTCCGTGTAAATAACTCTAGACTTTAATATATTTGCATAATTTCTTCTAAAGGTTTTTAGTATTTTTGTTTTATCAATTTATCTAACATAATAAATTGATATGGGTTAAAATCGTGTGTGTGGCTATGACTGCAAATTAACCAGCATATATTATTTGTGTGGCTATGTAAATTAAGATTATTACTACAGCTGCTGAGAGCATATGATTGCATATTTTCGATAAGCAATAATGGTCAACTGTGTAGTCGTTTATATATCATTAAAAATGGAAGATAATCTTTTAGAATTTAATATCTTACAATAATTATCTAGATTACTTGTCTAGCTTCCATCATGTCATCTAAGAAGAAGCTCTAAACACCATATAATATTATGATTTGTATTAGTCATTTATATTCTCTTCTTCAAGAATTGTTGAATTGGTTAAACCTATAAATTTTTCCTTATAAGTCCATTCTTTAAAACATTGTCTGAAATGGTAACAGGGAGTTATATTAGTTTCATAACCTTTTGTGTAAGTTGCTAAGAATTATATTATGTGGTTTTTAAAAACTATTATCAATTGAGTCATATGTATGAATTAATTAAACTTTTTTATCACTTGTAATTCTTTAGACGCAAAATTTTTTTTATATCAGCAATTAAAAATATTTTATACTGTAATAAATAGATTTTGCATTAAAAAATATTATTTTTAGTATTGTCTTGTATTGTTTTAATTATTTATATACTAGTTAATTTTGTATGCATAATAGAATAAATAACAAAATATAAAATTTAGAATAATTGTTCAGAGTTAGCAAATTTTAAAAAAGTATAATATATTAGTATAAAACCAGACCGGTCAGCTGTATTTATGGGAGATATTATGCTTAAACTTGAATCTAGGGCTTGATCCTTTAAAGAAAATAAATTAGTTGCAGTTCTTTATTATACTACTAGAAAACACAACTATACTAAGTATGGATGATGTACCGCTAGCAGAAGGTAATTGTAGTCTCATCTTGATAGATTCACAATGATGTTTAGAATGATGAAGCACTATATAATTACGAAGCAGGGGCGTCGCTAGCCTTTATAATATCAGGGGACTCAACTAAAAAATATTAATGGGGGCCTCGACCCCTATACCCCCCCTCTCCGCAATTAGCGGGCTTCGGCCAACTTTTGCCATGCCTGCCACCGGGTTTTATATTAATATATAATACATTTTTAA